GGTGTGGGGCCACTCCCCCGCAAGCGAGCATTTGCTCTGTAGCAAATTTAATCCAGCTGCGTTTACACGTGCACATTTGTTTCGGCTAGCGTCGCAAACGAGCATTTGCTCTGGAGCAAATTTTTAAACCACCTCCCTGAGGTGGATCAAATTTGGTCCGGTATAAGCTCTTTAGTGGAGCTACGCCGGAGCAAATGTGCACGTGTGAACGCTCGACTGGATTTATTTCGGAGCTGCGTCGGACCAAACGTTGCCGTGTGAACGGGGCTATTGTCACGTCAGCCTTTTTTTAAACCGTTCAGGTTGTGGTCAGTGGTAACAAAAAATACATGTGTTTTTATTTTGTTTTTGGTGATTGGCCCGTTGTGTACAATATCATTTAGTAAAACATTTTTAATTTAAAAATTATGAAGATCATTTTTTGACCAATCAGGTGCAGACTTGGCGTGGCCAAGAAATCGCCATTTACCACAAAAACTTTTTTTTTTTCCCCTTTAGAATTTAATGGAGCATAGACAGTGAGTGATTCTCTCCCCTCTTTAGGGTGACCAGTGTAGATTTTGTTTGGACAACTTACACATCCCAGGCCATGATGGAGTGATCCAATCTAAAAGCAAAGCATACAAAAAATGTTAATAGCATCAGAACATAATCTACTTACAGTATGCTCATTTCTACAACTCGCTGCCTTGCAACCAACCGTATGCAAAACCATGCATTTTGTATGCAGCGGTACACAAGGGAGTGTGGGAGAATGGTGGCCACAAAACAAAAAGACCCCCCAGAAAGGTATTCAGCATGCGGCATTTGATGACTATCACATTATTCATGCCGATTCCAAAAGAGATTTGTATGCTAGCGTGCTCCTGGGACAATCCCGCCACTAAGTGCGATGAGCGATTAGTTTCAGCTCATCTAGTTGTTGCTGCTGCAGCTGATTTCATCCCACTGGAAACCAAATGCTTCGTAAAAGACAAAGCTCTCCCAGAGGCTGCATTATTTATTCACACTGTTGCATGCCAGAGACACCGTGGTCTGCGTCATCATTTCGAAACGCAACCTTGGGGCAGGAACTTTGATCGTTAATACACCAAAACGAAATGACAACTGGCTGGTGAGTCACTTCAATACGGCACTTGTGGCAGTGGAGCCGTTTACGTTTGAAAAGTGTCCCTCCCCGAGGTACGGATGAGAACGTGCGCGGGTTTTAATTGGACCAAAGCAGCGGGTGATATCTCTGGAGGGCTTTGAGTGGAAAGGTGTGAAAGGTGCCCCCATTACTTCTTTTTATTTACCTACTTGGACGAAAAACTACACTTCAGTTTTTGCAAAAATTTAGAATAACCATGACGCAAAGTGATTCTATTAGATTGCCTGGCTGATCTTAAGCCCAACGTGTGTTTATGTGTCTTCAACTGATAGCTTTGACTTTGCTACTCACTGGTTTCTTCCCAACAATGAGCTTCTCAACCTTTTGGACCTGTGACACGTGGTCTTCATTGGTCTTGAGTTCCCGCTTTCGGATCCTCTCATAGATTCCAACCAGGGTCTCCCTGGGTATATCCTCTCCATCATCCACGCCTGCCACAGAAAAGAACCACAGTTATACAGTCAATAAGAGAAAGAATTAGGAATTAATTGCAATAAATTATTCTTGCTGACTGGAGCAACTGAATATTTTATTTGGAGGAACTTGACAGCGCATGAGTGACCCACACAATGACCTTGGTAGACTTTTCAAACTCAGGTCCCTCAAGCATCAGTCGGGTTCCTGCTTTGACTGAAAACGCCTCCCGAAAATATTGCTTGAAGGGTTGCACCTGAGCCATGTGGGGTAAGTTTACTTTGAAATCGACAGATTTTTGTGGCTTAAAGGAAAAGTTCAACTCTAAAAACAATCTACTGACATATGCACTGATTTGAACTTGACGTCAGCCATTTTCTGGATTAATCGAAGTGATTCTTTCGAATGTATGTATGATCTCTGGAAGTCTGACAAAAGCCTGGAGATGACTGGCAAACATTTGGTCGATGGACGCCAAACTTAATGAAACAAATACCATTTTCCTGCATGTTTTGCTTGCTGTACCTTTCAATAAATTATGTGTGCAATATGCAAATGAGTTTGTTTTTTTAACCTCTTAGGTTCTTGATGAAATCCTCCAGCTTCATCTTCCTCTCAGGTTTGACATTGGGGCTGTACATGTCTGTGTTGAGGAGGATGATGGCGAAGGCCAGGATGAAAATCGTATCCGGGTTCCGAAACTGCCGCACCACCGTAGGGTTGCAGATACAGTAGCGCTGGCTGGAGAGATGACATGACACGGTACGGGATGACATAATGCAGGGGGAAATGATGCAGATTGTTCAGAAATGTTGCTTCAAGGGAATAGGAAGTATGTGCCACCAATGGTTCCTTGTTTGCAGCAATACCTTTATCCAGAGGAGGAACAACAAATAAACAATTTGCATACTTTTATGAAAATGGACAGTTATGTGATTTGTGGGGTTCTACCGTAAAATCCCATGTATAATGCGCCCCCGCCCTAAAATCAACCTAAAATAGTATTTTTTTTCTCCTCTGTACTCATGTATAGTACTATGCCCTGATTTGCTGCTATTCATTATTATCATCTGATCGGATTTGTACAAGTCCATGTTTTTAATGCTCCCATAACACACTCTCACAGTGCACTGCAAAACATCAAGGTTGAAAGTTGCCCCCTTATTCATTGTTTTGGATCAAGCTCCTCCACTTGCACCTCTTCTGTTTTGAAAAGACTGCGAAGAGGGACAACTGAGACAGAAAAAAAAAATATCCATTGGATTTACTTAATTTGAAGATGTACATCAGTTGCACAGTTGATTAAACTGTGCTAAACCAATATGGTATTTGATTACCGGTATTTGTGTAAGGGGTTGTGATGAGCATGGCAAGCTATGAACTCCAACCTACAAGCTCGTGAACGCCAAGTGATGTCACAACAACAGTAACAATGTTGCCGGCTAAAAAAGCAGATTTGAGGAAGCTTGGTTTGTTAAAAAGTGATCAGTAGGAACGGCAACTGTGTCAGGCTGACAGCATCAAAGTTTGCAGAGTCATGTATGTATGTCTAATAAACTGCCTTTGAAAAGTAATTCACCAGCTCCGGTTTCCTCCCATATCCCAAAAACACGCGTGGCAGGTTAAAGGAACGCTCTAAATTGTCCGTAGGTGAGAGTGTGAGCGCGGATCGTTGTTCGTCAATGGGTGGCCCGCGATTGGCTAGCAACCAGTTCAGGGTGTCCCACGCCTACTGCCCGAAGACAACTGGGATAGGCTCCAGCATGCCCGCGACCCTTGTGAGGATAAGCGGATCGGAAAATGGACGGATGGATTTGTATTATGCACAGGTTTTTACAGTAGGTCGCCATCAAGCTCATCCACGGTGTAAAGAGGATATATTTGTCGTCAGAATGTGCCTATGCAGAATGCTGGGCCGTAGTGTTATGAAAGTGTACCTGAAGGCTTCAATGAGTCGTTCCACCTTCTGGGCTTCTCCCTGGACACGGATGTGGTTCTGAAACTTCCTGAGGGCTTCATCCAGCTCCATGCTCTGGAAGTCCATTTCATCTACCACACAGCTACACAGCACACACACATACAGAGAAATAGAGGGCAAAATAAACAAGATTATGCACGCCACACAGCAACAAAACATATTACATCAGGCTCACATAACTATCACTTGGATAACATTATCTTCTGCAAAACAACGTAATGTTTGCAAAAGAGAAGGTCACATTAGCATGACTGTTGGTCTTCACTTCGTTACAGAAATCACACAATTTCTGAGACCGCCAGTTGAACTTGAAGTAACAATGATGCGGGCCCAACTTTTGATCTTGATAATATTTGCTACTTTTTGATTGTCTTTTATTTGCTGTATCGGCCAGCAAAGTAGAACAGTGCAGTGCACCCATGTTGGACGTTCTGTTGTGTGATTCATTGAAGACCCTCGGCTGTCGTGTAATTGATTGGTGATCAGTCCAGGACAGGGATGCGCAATTGAAACGATGGAGGTGGACACAATTTTTCATCAGGACCGCACACTGCCTCACAAGATGTTTGACCAAAATGCCATTTTAAAAACGGACAAAATATGTGCATATGTCTGTTATTTATTGAACCGATGTACATCATAGCATTACATCCCTGGTGTGATGGTGGTATAAGTGCTTCCACAGCGTCATACTCACTCCAAGACATCCCTGTTGAACTGTTTCTGTCTATTTCCGAGGAACTCTCCGATCATCTGCCTGCTCAGGCCTTTCCTTTGCAGCAAGAAATGAGCCACACCAACTGGTGTGTCAGGGATGAAGCCCCTCTCGGTCAAGTATTGGATGCCCTTCTCTGGCTTCCTGATAAGAGGAAAATATAGTAATACTTGAAAACAATTCCAAAGTAAAACATGTAGGTGTTCAAATGAAAGAAATGTGCTGCTTGCAATATATGGTGTCGCTAGGGGACAGTTTCCATTTCCAACATACACGCAAACGCTTGTCTTACAAAGTACTTGTGCCTAGTTCTTACTTGTTGAAGAGATTCAAGCCGATGCGATAATGTCTCTTGCGAATCACATCGTTGCTGAAGATGGGCGAATCCCAGCTGTTGCGGGTCTCTTTGTGGTAGGTCTGCTTGCTGAGCGTCTGCTCTCGTAGGCTGTCCCTCGACGAGGACTCAGAGCTGCAGTTGATCGTGTCATTGGAGTTCGATGTGCTGTTGATGCTGTCGTTGTCCCCATCCGAAAAGTCAGACTCGGACTTGCTCTGACGATTGGCTGAGCCGTTGATAGCTAGGTGGCTCTCCAGCTGGCGGTGGCGGTGACGGAGAGGCGCATCGTCATCACGTGACGGCGCTCGTGGCGGAGGTCCATGGGAAATGTGTTTGGGGCTTGCCTGGGATGAGGTTACAATGTGGCCGTGCGGCTCGTACACAGGCGGCCTTTTGACCGAGCCCCGTTCGGAGCGATCGCTTAACTCGGCGGAGCTGTCGCTAGGAGGTTCTATCGTCAACAGAGGAAGGTGGTCCATTCGCAGACGCTGCTCTTGGCACTCCAGAGAAGGAGTGCTGCGGCAGCTCGTGTCCGTGTCACGACCCTCATCTTTAGGGTCGATAGGCCAGTAATCCTGGGAGGAGTTAACTGACCGCAAGCGCAAGTCTGATTCTGTGCCAGGGGCCTGCTCTCCCGCCCTCGACAGAGCAATGGGAGGTGACATGTCGTCCTCATCAATGAACAGAGTAACATCGCTATACGATGCCATCGAGTCATCGTGAATGTGTCCAGCTGCCCTGCAGTGGGACTTCACCTGATAGGGAACCTCCCTCTCCACCTCAGGGTCCGGACCTTCATCCCCCTGAAGGCTGCGGCAGTTCAGTGCGTCGTCTATCGACTCGGCCAGGGATTTGACCTGCCTGGAGAAGGCGTCCTCTAGTTCCGTGATGGCATCTGTCAGATCACCCTGTGGGGGCGGATGAGACGCCATATTGGCCTGCTGGTGGACCTGTATATCCCCACATTCTGACTGCAACATGGACAGCGGGGCGCCGTCCTCTGTCATGGACACCTGCCTCCCTTCAAAGTAGGAGCTGTGCACTTTCTCGGCACCCTCAAACGACAACTGCATCCTCATGTTGGAGAGAACGATGCGTCTGGACATGCGATTTTCAGACATAGAGCTCCTGAGACGTTCAAAATTCTTGTTCATCTGATACTGGCGGAAGGCGGTTTGGATCGTGCGAGCCGCGTGCCGCGTTATGAATCGCCCGCCATATTTGCGCTCCAGCATCTCCACCTGAAGAACAGACAGAACACAGTGAAATTGGACCATTAGTGATCTAATGTGTCTTCGGCACGGATGCTCGACAACGTCCACGTTCATTTGACCCACGTTACCTGTTTATCCTGAAGGTCGGCGGAGAGCTCATAGCTCTCCGAGAGCGAGCGAGAGCGCTTGATGGCCTCCTCCTCCGCCTGCTTCCGAAGGATGGACTGTGAGTGCTGGAGCTTAGGCCGACGGGGTCTCTGAGGGCCAGGCTGAACCCCGTGGCTGTAGAGGGAGCTCTCAAAACGATCAGGACTGATGGCCGACCCGTGAGTCACCGGACCTGGCCCATATCCTGCTCCTGGATCAAGGGAAGGGCCGCTCTCATTGGACCGTCCGTCCCCTTCCACACTGCAACCAGAAAAAAGGATGGGGAGACTTTACTCAACAATATTGATTCAACTATAATGTTTATCAGGTGGAAAGAGCTGAATACTGCGAGTATTATGCCATAAAAGACAGTACAGTGTGCAACTTCCTTCTACTTCTCGTGGACAAATAATGACTGCGTGTACAAGTAGGATTCTAATTTTGAATGGCAGACATTTGAGACAGAAATGTCTGCACATTGTTTTTAATTATAGAATTATAGAAATAAGACAATGGCCTAAGATCTGCACCGATGTTACAGAAACAATCAAACTAAGACCAAATAGAGAGTCGGCCGACGAGCTCAAATGGCCTAAGATCTGCACCGATGTTACAGAAACAAGACCAAATAGAGAGTCGGCCGACGAGCTCGCTGGATGTGGTAAGAGTTAATGTGAAGAAAAAAAAAACAGTGGTTACTCACTCACTCTTACACTCAGCTGAATAACAAGGCGGCTGTTTATTGCGAAAGGACATTCTATTTTCTATAAAGTGCCAACTCTTCCGCCACATCTTGTCCACCATTCTTGTAGCCAAGTCAGGTCCAGAGTACACAGATTGCTCCAGGAAACTTCCCTTTATGCCAGCTCAAGAGCCAATCAGTGAGCGCAGGGAGTTGCATGATGTTTGCCGGAGCAACGTCACGCTGTTGAGGCACTTGTCTCAAAGTCCACTTTCATATACAACGACAGAGCAAATACGACTTTTGCAGGCAGCTACGATGTGTCTTGAGCGGCTACACGTTCGCATTTCTTCTGCTGCACGGTACAGAGCGGCCCCTGTTCTTTGGTAAGCAAATGCATTTGAGCTGTGACTCGACACACCCGCGTAGTGTACACAACCCACTTCCTTTATTCGTCAGCCTGACTTCAACATGCCACCATAACAGCTTGCTGTCAAAGGACATCAATTCTGGGCCAACCAATGAACTCTGATGCAAAACTGAGTGTGGCACAGAATTTACAAAATGTTATCTGTGAGTAAACACGAGTTGAAAGGCCAACATGTCTCACCCACCAGGCAAAGTGAAACCTCAATTTGAACAGTATACAACTAAAACAAGAACTCACTGCTTCAAGTAGTAACTATGAAAAAAAAAGTGACTCAAAAGCATTTTAAAATAGGAATTGTGAAACACTTGCGGAGGTTTGATTACTATTGTTTCTACTTGGGAGTATGAATTCAAAATCAAAACACACAGAATGCTGAACATCCTCCTGGAAACCTGAAGCAATATATAGCATACATATAAGCATTGATCATTGTATTCATTCAATGAGAATTGGCTGAGTAGCCAACACCTCATTTCAAACCTCCAACAACAGGAAAAGAGTGGAAAACAATCACAAATACATAGCCAGCAGCTAAAGAAGTGACCGAACACATATTATTGAATTGAATTGAATACAACTTTGACAATAAAGTTGTATTCAATTCAATTATGAACCCGAACTACATTTGCAGAGTACGCACCTAGTAGGTCATCTGGGGTTATTTTGAAAATGTACCTTAAAGTCAAATTACACTTTACAGAAAGCATTGTGACTTCAATTTTAAACATTTAGCGGAGCAATCTTGATGGGAGCTGGTGGCTTTTGTTAATCATTTAAAAAAATAGGACATTAGAGATTGAGAACATTGAAAACTGTTTGTTCATTTGTGTTTTCTGTGGGCAACAAGCATCTTTCCTTCCATTTTGTGCTGGGGGTGGGGGGTAAAGCACAGTCTATGAGGTCAGTAGCTCAGAGTGGCGAAAAGTGGAGGAAAAAAGGGAAACGCTTGCAGCATGCCAAGAGCCTGCACGGGAGTGAAATGGATGTTGAGAGGGAAAGAGGGTGGGAACTCGCAGTAAACTATTCCAGAGACTATCTTGCTCTTATACTTCGGGAAACTATCGAAACACATAAACCAACATCAAAATATGAGAGAAATGTGTAGTCTCCGTCCGCCAAAAAGTGGCAAAAGATATCCACCCAGTGCCGTGCGACTCTCTGCTCGCTTTTATCCACCGGGAGCTCCAGCGCCAACGTTGGCATGGATAAGCAGCTCAGCTGGCAGTGATTTGCAGCAACGGGATTGAGGGATCTGGAGGACAGTTTTGCCCCCACCTCCTCCAAAAAAAAACCTTGCACAGCCCTCAGTCTATTCCCCCAGTCGGACCTGAGGGAGAAACATTCCTCCATCCCGGAAAAGCAGAGTCACATCTATAGGAGGTCTGGGAATAGAGGAAGGTTAATGAAGAGCAGACTGCCGTGAGGTGCTGCCTCTCAAATGAAGAAGCAGAGGGTTGAATCAGCTGGACTTCCCACTCGAATACTTGTCTAAATATATTTTAATATGCAGTCTGATCAAATGTCGACTAGTTGATTGGTATTCATTTACAGCACTAATTGCATTCTGGAAAATGAACTCTCCTATCAGTCTTTTTTTTCCCCTCCCTCACAATTTAAAGAGTCAAGAAAATAGTGTAAATGGCCAAGCATTGCGATTTCCAGCTTGTCAAATGGCATGCACGCAAAAACGGCAAATTTCGTTGGCGGCAGTCTGGGTTGCTAAGGAAGTGCATCATGCTTTCCTGGAGGGGGCACAAATTGACTCAGGTTTAAAGCAGACTATGAGTAAGAACCCAAAAGCAGCAGACAGTATCCCAGTGTAATACAGCCCCGCTGCCTTCTTCATCTGTCTGCTCACCCAAGACATTTTTCCATAATATTTGGCAACACCTCAATATCACAGCCCTCGACGCACACGCACAGACGACATGTGTTTCAAAGACAACAAAAGCAGATGTTCTCGCTCTGCAGAGGGCTCATAAATACAGATGCAAACAGCAGCCCTCACAAGCACACATTCAGGGGAATGAATTCCTCAGGTAGAAGGTTGGAGGACCACACAGCAACATGCTAGCTGCCGGAGCTGGTCGTGTGGTAGCCAAATGGCCGGCCTGTCAACCGTTTGCGTTCATGGAATCTTTTGACACCAAACGCTCGAAGATGCGCAAGTTGCCGTTTGGCATGGCTGCAAACTGGGATGCTGCTCCATCCAACAGCCTGACAGTCGCTCAGTGTGCGCTTGTTACAAAGTTGACAAGAGTATCATAAAACATTTGGGTTCAAAAGCTGTGGGGGTTGGATTCTCCACAAATCACAAACTGTCTTCAAGCCTCGCCGCTTGTATGCGTCTGCATGCGACTGTCCCCCACATCAAACGCTTTGAAGGACCGTTTCATCTTATTGTAAACTGTACAACTGGAAAACCCATACACACTAGCCTGGCTTTAATAAGTGCAATGTACTTGACTAGGGGCATGAGCAGATGTTTAACATGAAAGGACAAACACTGTGTTTCAAACCATATGACCAGCAACTTTTCCCGACCAATCTGCCCAAATTAAATTAGAAAGGCTTCTACATTGGCCTACTGTATGTCTGCAAGTTTTCTGTAATTAGCAGAGCTATCTACACTGGAATCTCGAAAGTTGAATGTCCCAGAGGCAGAAAAATATGCCTCTTCAACTTATTCCAAATCTGACCACGTATTGTGTTAACCTCCCACTCTGTTTCCAAAAACACATACAGAGGATTCTTCCGTGTTCAATCCACCAAATAATTATTTCTGAATATTTCACACAACACCAACTTAACAGATAATGATATGACGCAGCCTATGGTGTAACTTTTATTCACAACACAAGGCAACAAGACCCAGCGGGTCTCGTCGGCAACACTTGGGCATCATCGGTGCAAAAACTTCCTGCAGCTGGGAAAAGTCAGGCTTTAAAAGTAAAAGTGCACCAAACAATCAAAGATAACATTCTACAGAGAAGTGCTCTTAATGTGGACATAACTGGCGCAATATGTACATATTTTTTGACTTTAAATTTTGCTCTTTCATCGACTCATACATATGAAATTCTAAATATGGTTAAATATTACTGTAAAACAATATGTGAAGTGCATTTCTATCGGATGGTGACATATGGTCGGTGGCTGTGTCTTGCTCACTGATAACCCGAAAATAGATTTTTCGCCTGTGTGAAAGAATGGTTAAATATGGCCCATTTATATTTTTACCTCCCCCGCCCCCCATCCTTTTTCGCACTGACTTTCATCCATGTCCAAATTTCCTTCGAGGATGTCTTCTCACCCCAGCTCCGCTAAGCCATACCATCGCGACTATCCAACAACATTGACATTCTCCGCTCAATAAAAACATTGATGTTGCAAATATGCTGCCGCTAAACAGCAAGCGCTGATAATCTCCTCCAATGAATGCCTCGCTCAAAAGTGCTACAAACAGCCCACAACAGGTTTGCACAAGGCAACATCAAGTTGTAATGAGAAAAAAGTTCGAAAAGTATAAATTAAAGGCGGTTAACATGCTAAGCTAAAGGTTATAGCTATGGAGACACGCCAGTTTCAGCCATCCAGCTACAGAGTTTGTGTGCAGATGTTCAGGTGATGGAGAAATACTGCTCGGCGGACAGTGAGGGGCTGACGGTAAAGTGCAGACTTTTTATCTTCCAGGGCAGTTCAGTTTTAATAAATACAAGACTGCACATCCATACGGCATGTTTGTTCCAACGACACATGACAGAAAATTGCAAATAGGTGTGTTTTTTCCCCCCATGAATAATGGACGATATGTTCACCCAAAAAATCCACAAATAGGTGAATTGGAGAATGCCGGACGGTGAATATTTGCAGAGGTCTACTGGACTGGTTGACGAAACCTACAATTGGCCATGGATGGTTTTGATTTTGGGGTATTTCAATGCTGCTTGAAACAAAACCACTGTGCAGAAAATGTGACTGAGTGTGCAAAGTGGGCTGTGCTTGCAGGACTAAAAGTCATCGCAAATCAATATGGCTCCCTTGTATATTTCCAGACCTCATTCTGTCTGAATCAAGGCGGCCCGCCTCCTCTCTGCTGTCAAGTCTCAACAACAAAACACCATAACAACAGCAATCGAGTCGATGTCA